TTTTTTTGTTCTGAAATCATACTAACAAGTATCAGAGATTTAGAGATAAACTGTATATAACTTTGTTTTCAGAGCCCTGTAGCAGAATGAATATATTTTCATTTAAATATAGAAACTTGATCTTGGGCGTAACTGCAACTGCTGTCGGATATTACACAGTTCTCATGCCACATACTATCTTTCTAAGTAAATACAGATACATGGTAGCCAGATATCAGTAAGTAGTAGAAGTTACTGATATTCGTATTCACTCCAAATCTATAATTTAATGTTTTCTTTTCCCATATATACAGAATTGGCAAAGAAGCGCCGTTAGATTTTAAGATCCTACAAAGGATCCAGAAAATAATGGACGATTTAAAACTATCCGATGACATTAGGAATATTATAAAGCCCTTCAGTGTGTTTGGTTTCGATTTACTTCACGCTGGGACACTCAATAACAAGTACGGAGCGATACTGGGAATTCCTGCTAATTTTACTAATACAGCAGAGCAACTCCGTGAGAACTTGCAGATCAAGGAGGAGCCGATAGACTGGACGCGACAAGACGCGCAAAGTTTCCTGAATGCGTCGATACTTTCGGAGAATGCGCAAAAATTCGCGATAGCGCGCGAGATTCTGCGAATTCAAGCGGAGGAACCATATTTCAATTCATACATACTGGCTTTTATCATAGCAATATTGTGGACATTTTATAACGCTATAACATACAGATTCAAATTGCGCAACCAGAATGTGATACTATGTCGTACGCTTTATTCGAGTTTCACTGTATGCGGTGCAATATCATGGTTTGGTATCAAAGATTATCGAAGTTATCATCTCGACAGAAAGACCGATGAAGCCTTGTGTAGTCTAGGAGCCGATTATATTAAAGGAGGACAAGAATTTTATGAGAAAACATTAATTAGAAATAGAGCTATAAGATCTCTCTTAGGGGAGGAAGGAAAACGTATATATACCGCTTATGGAAATGAACAGACTTTCTTGAGGCAGAAACATGTGCCACTTTCTTACAGTAAGGACTTCTTTGATTCGCAATTTGGTTTGCAAAATTTGGATTGTAAGACGTGAAATAAATCTTTTCTTGCACTTACAATAACTAGAAAAAGTGTTCTTTTTACATGACATTCTGTCCAAGATGAGTTATGCAACGATCAAAATTTTAATGATGTTTAGTGCACTTGTACTCAACAATTCATTTTTCTGTGGTACTTGAAAAAAACATACCTTTTCGTTTAATTAATTGTGATTCGACCGCTTCGTGTTTGTATGAAAAAAAATGATGAGTGGCATGTCAGATATCCTTGTGAATGTGAGCGCATTGAAAAGTATAAATGCACATGATTACATATACATGTACATATGTATATTTCTTACACGTCATAAATGTCAATGTAGATTGTTGATGATAATAAACTGTTACTATCTGGAACACAATATTCGTTATATGAATATATATTATCAATTATACATTACGTATATATACACATTATTCTTTAGAATAGTATAATTTTACTTACGATATTGCATTCTAAGTCCTTAATGTATAAAATATTTATCATAAAAGTATGTACTTCCAACATGTGTGTCTATAGCATATATGATTATATTTTACACAATAAAAATCAGGATAAGGACACATTTTATAAATCATCTGTATTTGTATATTATATAAGCCTTATCGCGCGTATATATAACATTCTGTTAAATTAATATTTATAAAAAAATCTATAAGATATATTGTATTACATATTTTAACTATTTTGTACAATTCTCTTGCTTTCCTTCTTATATATGAGACTGAAGATGCCCATGTTAATAATGGCCTATAGAAATATAGAAACCGCATCAATAGCCTATGGAACATTTGTGAACTTCTATACATAAAAGTACATTTCGGACTATGAAAGACCAAGCGAGCCAAACTGAAAAAAAAATCCATAGCTTAGAGATGTATCAGTCACACTATGTTACGCTATATATACTATATATATATATATATTTTTTGCATACAGTTGTGCTTACCAGAGTCAGTTTATCCTCTTCCTTTTTAAGTATTTTTGTGGTTTGTTCTTGATCGAACTTGACAACAGCAGCGATCACTCTGGCGAGTACCACGGTCTCCCTTCCCATCATATATTCGAATAGAATATTTCTGAGATACTCAATTTCTGTAGAATCTTCTAACGTGTCGTGCCGGAGTTTCACTAGCTTTCTGAGCTCTGCAATCTCTCGTCTCTGAGATGTCAAGGTCTGTTGTAGTGTATGAATCGAACCGGTGCTCGTTTGTATCGCGGCCATGGCCACGCGCGATGTGCTCTCTAATTCCTGTACGAAATTTTAATTTAATTTGAATTCATTTTAATTACGCTATACATGTAGGAGAAAACTGTAATAGCTCTAGACATTAAAGAAAAAGAAGCAAAACAAAATAAGCTTTACCTCGGAATCTGCTTCGGTTTGTATATTAAGCTGAAAATAATGCGAATACATATATAAACGCAAATTAAAAAATTAAATTTAAAAGAATACATATATATATACATGAAACGTGCATGAATGAATAATTCCACTGAAAAAATATGTACATTCAGATCTAACAACAAATGCACTAAATCAAATTATACTTCAATCCATAATTATGTGAACTCACCTTTCTTTCGTTCTGCCACTCCTTCGTCAACTCATTTAATTCCTCCTCGTGTTTACCTTGCAGATTATCTATCTTCTGTTGCACGATGGCTTTCCATCTTTTTTCCAATTCTTTTATTTCGTTGCTGTGTTCCTTCTTAAGCTGTTCGATTGTTTCAACCAAGCAATCGATATCCTTTCCCTTTTCCGCCACTGCATCTTTCTTCTCCAGAACAAGGCTCTCGAGTTGCTCAGACTTCTCTGTCAATTCTATTTGACAATCTTTCAGTTGTTCCTTATACTGTTGCACAAGATTCGACTCGTAATTCTGTTGGCGATCTATAAAGATTAAATACTGGTTATTACGCATTACATCAAGATATTTTAAAAATATGTTATTTTACACATTTATATATTTTTTGAAAAATAAAACATATTTTACCAAAACGTTTCTCCAACGCGGCTTGGAGCTCTTCTTCTTTATCATGTAATTGAGCTTGGAACTCTTTGACCAATTGCTTCAGCCTCATTCCTTGTTCTTCCTCGTTGGTCTTCAATTCTTCTTTCATTTGATTAGTTTGCGCTTTCAGTTCATTACTCACTAGTGTCATCTGCGTTTCTTTCGCTTGGAATGTTATCAATGCTTCGTCGAGCTGGGCCTCCAATCTCTTATTCTCTTCATGCAATTTGTCGTTATCGAGCTGGCACTTTGTATCATTACGAGCGATTTCTAATTCTTCTCGCAATGTATTGTTCGTCCGAGCGAGAGAATTAATTTCCGACTGTAGACTAACGACTTTTTGTTCCAATGATGAGATCGAATTTTTCAGCGTGTTGACGTCCTTTCTTTTTTCGTCGACTTCCAGCGAAAACTGTCTTAAGTTTCCAATCTCTTGCAACATGTTGGAATTTTTGTCCTCTAATAATCTTATCTCGGCATCTTTCTCCGTCAATAAATTTTTTAAGGCGTCCAATTCCGTCGAAGAATTTTTCCCGGATTGACCGTCTAATTCTGATTGCAATCTGTTGTTTTCTGTACGTAGATCTTTTAAGCTAGATTGTAAATTATTCAAATTTATTTTTAACTCTACGTTATGAGAGTTTAAATCCTCTAATTCGATTATTTTATCTTTTAAGGCTGCTTGCTCGGCAATCAATTTATTATATTCTGAACGTATCGCCTCTGTGTCCGAATTCTTTTCGATAAAATCATTAAGTTCCGATTTCAGCTTCATGTTCTTATCTTCTACATCTTTAATTCTTGCAACTTCATCTCTCAGTAATTTTACTTCCTCAAGAAGTTCTTCTTTCTCTGTTTTCAAAATATTACCACTTGTTACAGCTGCATTTAATTTGGAGACTTTATCATGCAACTCGTTGTTTCGTTCATCAAGTTTTTCTCCAACTTCTTGCAATTCTCTCTCACTCATCGCCAATCTTTCACTTAATGTATTTAATTCCGTCTTTTTACATTCGAGTTTTGTATTAATGTTTATTAATTCATTATTTAGACGTTCCGTTTCCTCGTTCTGACTATCTAATTGAGATTTATACGATTCCACGTAATTCTTTATTGTTTTCTGTAATTCTTCAATATCCCTCTCGTAATCTCCGATTTTTTGCTTCAGAGCCTCCTCATTTTCGCAAAGCTTTTGATTGCGACTTAAAAGATCGTTATGTTTATCCTTCAAATCTTTATTCTCCAAAGTAATTTTCGCGAGTTGAGCATTTTCCAATTTCAACAATTCTATTTGTTTCTCAGAAGTTCCCAGCACGTTGGATAATTCTGCGTGCTTGGTCTTCAGTTTGTCAAGTTCGGCGTTCGTCTCTTCGATCGTTTTATTTTGTCGTTCTTTGATCATTTTCATCTTTTTTAATTGTACAAGCTTGACATTTATCGTTTCTTGCAATTCTTTATTATTTTCCATTAATTGGGCAATTTCTTTTGCGTGATTCTCACTCGCTTCTTGATATTCCGCTTTCAAACTTAGATAATCCTTCATAGATCCCTCGATTTTCTGTACGTGAGCGTCGCACGTAGATTGTAAAAGCGCGATACGTTCTTCTTCGTTTACCAGTCTCTCATCGCGTATCTTTATTTCACCTTCTTTTTCAGCCAGATTGTCCTTCAAGCGAGCAATTTCCAATCTCGAAGTGGACAATTCATCTCGAAGCGCATCTCTATCGCTGCTTTCCGATTTCAATGAGTTAATGACATCGGTCGCCTCGCGTAACTTGGCATTTAATTCGTCCACTTCTTTAAAGATATGACTGGCCTGTGTGTGCTTCTCTCTTAAATCATCAATCTCAACCGATAACGCGTGATTTACAGACTCGAGGTTCTCTAACGCTCTCAACCGTTCCTGCTTCAAAGTCTTGACTTCTTGTTGTGATTGCGTCAACTTATGCGAGTCTTTTTCCAAATCGTGTATTTTAGAAGTAAGATTATCAATTTCGGCTGTTAATTTATTATTCGTTATTTTCAGTTCATCATAATGATCGCTCTTCAATGTCATCTCTTTCAATTGTTCATTAGTCTGTTTCAGTTCTGCTTCTAACATGGATTTGAGATTTACAGCTTGTGTCAATTCAGATTGCAATTCTATATCTTTAGATGTGAATTGTTCTATATGCTTTATTTTCAAATGCAAGTCATTCACTTCGGATTTGAGTGTCACGTTTTCTTCTTCGAGCTTTACAAAAGACATAGCAAGAGTCGCGTTCAGATTCGATATTTCGGCCTTTCGATTTAAAAATTCTTCTTTCACAACACTTTTAATATTCACGCAGTCCTGCTTTAAACGCTGCATACAATCATTGTAATAAACAAGACGATTTATCAAATCGCTTCTTTCCTTTTTCAGTAAACTTAAAGCCGAATTGTCCGCTTGGACTTTATTTTTAAAATCGTCGATTGTGGATTTGCAACACTCGAGCTCATTGTGTACTTCGTTTAATTCTATTTTTTTATTCTCCAATTCTTTTTGCATCTCGGAAAGTTCCGTCCTATCCTCCAATTTGTCTTTAAGAGACTTTATCTGTGTCTCTTGTTCCGTCAGTTTATGTTTAGTCTTTTCGAGCATGGCTGTGTATTGTTGTAACTTCTTATTGTAATTCTCACAAACCTGATCCCTGTCGATCAATGCGTTTCTCATGTTTTCCAATTCCTTGTCAACGCTTTGTACCGTGGCCTGAAGTTTCTCGATCGTCGCATTGGCATCTTTCCGTTTCTCTTCCATAATAATCTTTTGCGCACTGTATTCATCCTTTAGTTCCGAATATGTTTCTTTATAAATTGTCAGCTGGGCCTGCAGTGCTTCCTTGTCATGTCTATACTCCACATTTTGTTTCTTCAGTTCATCTAATTTATGCTGCAATTCTTGGAGGTCTATTTCCTTTTCCTTCAAACGAAGCGTTAGTTCCTCCAACATATTCTCATTCTTTTCCGATTTCGTCTCTTCGCCATGATCGACTTCTTCACGTCTTATAGCCGCCTGTTGCGTAGATCTCACTGCTTCGATTTTTTCCTTAGCGTCATGCGCCGTCGTATCCTTATCCGCAGCTATATTTGTAGAATGCAAAGCTTTCAATTTATCCAATTCAGTTTTGTATCTCACTATTGCTTCGTTTAAGTTCTCCCTATCCTCGATCGTATGTTTCAGATCGATTTGTAGCTGTTTTATTTGTTCCTCCTTCTCCTCAAGTTCCCTGTGAACCGAAAGTTTATTCTCGGCTAACGAAATCGCCGATTCCTCCTCGCGTTTAAGCAAAATATCCACTTGTTCCGTCAGTTTCTCGATCGCGGTATGCGCTGTACTCAATTCAGCTTCTATTGCATCTATTTCCTCGGCAGTGGAATTTTTTAGCGCCGTATAATCGTTCTCCAAAGTATTCTTCTCCTTCATCACTTCAGTAAACTTTTCTTTATTGCGCTTCAAGGATTCCTTATATTTCAAAACAAGATTTTCCAATTTTTTTAACTTATCCTTTAACTGAGTGTTTTCTGCTGACAGAGCGTTATTCTCATCCTCATTAGACGGCTCATTGGTCAGATCAATTAGGTTGTCTTTGGAATTTTCCTTTCCTTCTTCCGATACTGAATTGTCTAAAGTTGGTCCGCTTGTTTGTAATAATTTAACTTTTGTATTTAATGTATTTATAATGTGATCCTTTTCTTCTATATCATTTCTCAGTGCCTCTTCCAAATGCGCTTTCGCTTGTTGCTCTAATTGACATTGTTCTTTTAGATCAGTTATTCTCCTTAGAACTTTGTCCTGTGTTTCAACTAATACAGATTCCAGCCTGCTTTTTACTCTGTCCAACTCGCGATAATGTGTAGCTAGATCAGTATATCTACCACGATATTTTTGATATTTTGCTTGTACCTTTCGATAAGCAGAATATAACTGATCCTTTGTAACTTTATCAAGATGAGGACTAATATTATCATCCACTTCGCTGGCAGATTGATCCATATCCGACTGTAAAATGAAAACTTTTAGTTTCAACAAAGAATTACAAATCATTTGCTGATAGATATTTAAACAACAAGACAAACCTGTAAGTGATATAAATTTGAAGGACTTTCGTACATTGGAAACAACGAAGATGCATCACTAGTGACACTGCTTACTGAAGATCTTCTTGAAATCTCCACGCGATTCGAAGATGGCGACATTAGGTCAACATTTTGGAAACTGTGTTTTGCTGGTGTGTTTTTTGGTGTTTCTGTAAGTAAAATATCATGTTAATTTAAATCTTCAAAATGCATGCAGAGTATATCGCCAAGAGAACAGAACACTTATAATATATCCCTCTGAAATATTTTCTATCTTCAAAGTTGAGAGAAAACTATTTAAATATTCTGTTTCTGGTAACTCACCCTATATATTTCAAACATACCGAATCTCCAAATTCTGAGCATCTTGTCAAATATTAAATGATTCACACGCAAACAAAAATATGCTTACCATCTCCATCTTCTGTCAAACTGAAATTGTCACTTGACGCTGACACTTCCTGAATGGAGCTGTTGGACAGTGCTGGCGATACCACAGCCTATAAACGTAACAACAACAAAAAAAAGACCAACGTCAAGTCAATGATAGTCATTTGTAATCATATTTAAATCGTGTCGAGAAACGTCAAATGAAACCTGCGCCAATTGTTGCACGCTCGCCTGTAATCTGGCAGGCGACTGCTTCATCTCCTCCGCTAGTTTGTCCTTGAATTTCTTAAACATCCTGGCGTGTATCGGAAACTGCGGTTAGTGTGATAAGCGCGATAACGTATGGAATCAGAATTCTTCCGCAGCGATCGAGCGGACACGATGTTTACGTGGACACGGTTCGAGATTGGTGACAGCAAGAGCGCGAGTTGAAAAAATCCGTTCTACGACGAGGCGATTCAATACAACGAACATAATGCAACCGGAATCTCGTATTTTCGCTCTTCGCGAGCAAAATAGGATCGGTCGATACGAAGAATTCAGCTTTACATTATTTGATTATGTATTTCATGTATATTAACTATATGCCACATATGTGCATCGTCCGCCATTATGGTGAGTGGTCATGACGTCATTTGAACGTCAGACACCGTTTTTAACGATGATTTTTGTTGAATGACGATTTACAATAGCGTTGTATCTGCGACGACAATGAAAACAAATGTCAAAAATTAAACTTGCTACAAAATGCAAATGCGTTATACTATTGAATAAATTAATAGTGAAATAAATCTCCTATAAACAATATATCAAGTAATTTTCTTTTTTAGTATTATATCATAAAATCTCTAAAAAAAAAAAAAGCCATTGGAATTACATATATTATCTAAAATAGATAACTTTAGATCTAAACTTTTCTCAACATATTGATAAATTAAAAACTCGTCTTAATTTTGAATACAAGTACACACACACACATTAAAGTTAAAGTATACAATAAACTAACTTTCAAGGAATCGAAAGATGCGGGAGGAAAATAATGAGATCCATTCGACAATTTTTTCAAAGAGCTCTCCTGGGATTGGAGGATGTTTATTTAGACAACTTCGGCCGCTCTAACGCCTCCTTTATGAGTTTTCGACAGAAAGTCGGCGTATTCTTGATACGGCGCCTTAGCCAGAGCCTGTTCCTTCCACAAATCAGGAGTAAGATACGCGTACGTCTTAGCGATCGCAGCGTAAGTCGCCTTGGCAAAATTACCAAGCGTACAGGTGGATCCTCTGGCTGAGGTGTAACAATCCTCGATACCAGCCATCTGAAGCAGTTTCTTGGGAACCGGAGCAGACACGATGCCGGTACCTCTGGGCGCTGGTATCAAGCGCACCTGCACGGAACCACATTTGCCAGTTACCTTACATGGCACTGTGTGAGGCTTGCCAATCTTGTTACCCCAGTAACCACGTCGAACTGGCACGACGGAGAGCTTGGCCAGAATAATAGCACCGCGAATGGCAGTCGCTACTTCCTTGGAGCACTTCACTCCTAATCCAATGTGACCATTGCTATCTCCGATGGCAACAAAAGCCTATAAAAAATGTTTCATTTTAATTATTCTTGTCATATGTAACTTTTTTAGTCTTGTTTAATCAGATTAAAGATTATTAGACTGTTGTATCTCTTTTTTTGGTCAATTTTAATTAATTATAATGTCGGAAAAAGAAAAAGACTTTAGGTTTACCTTAAAACGCGTACGTTGACCTGCTCTGGTCTGCTTTTGTACTGGCATAATTTTCAAGACCTCATCCTTTAGATCCGGTCCGAGGAATTTGTCAATGATCTCGTACTCTTTAATAGGTAAGGAGAATAGGTAGATATGCTCGAGGGACTGAATCTTGCCGTCTCTGACCAGACGACCAAGCTTAGTGACAGGGACCCATTCCTTGCTGTCTTCTTTGCCGCGTCCACGGCCGCGTCCTCGACCTCTACCTCCACGACCTCGGCCTCTCAGGCCTCCACGATCGCCTCCACGAGAACCAAAACCTCCACGAAAGCCTCCGCGTGCGGCTGGAGCAGCGTCCGCCATTCTGTATAATTAAGAAAAATATTATAATATATCAAAATCATATTAAACAAAATATAATTCGTACTTTAAAAAATATATTTTAGCTTGTTGAAAATATTGTTGATAACTGCTATACCTAATATGTCATTACAATCATTATGTATAATTTAATTAAATATTTTCTAATTCTTATTAATTATATAAACGCAGGAATTGCATTAAGAGTACTAGAAAAAATACAATAATTCATGATATATGAATGAAACATTGAGGGGATTATAATTAACCTAACAAAAACACACACGTGGCACACACATAAAATATTTTGAAACGCGACGATATATTCCCTTTTTAAAAGAAATTTCTTAATGTCTTATATAACTTAATGAAAAGTATGCAAAAATTGTTTCGTTATCGTGACATATATGTAAAATAATATTGAAATATTTCGGGAATATACTCACGTTACTTCTTTCCTACGCGTGGTGTCACGGAAGAAAGACCAATGAAGATTTCGAGTCTCGAGATGACGCTATTCTGTGTAACGTCACGTCCGACATTTAAAAAAATGGCGCGTTTCTTTATTGCAGCTTCGAGGAAGCAATGTTTACGAAAATACATATATATATTAATTTATATATTTTTTTATTGCTATTGTACACTTAAATAACGCTGTAACATTTGCCGCAGTATACAACATATTGTCAGTTACTATGTCCTGGGCCATCACTCGGTCGACTCGCAAAATCTCATCGATCTCGTCTCAGCCACATCGCGAACGATACCATAGGACAATTGATGATATCGGGTCTATGGGTATATCTAAAAGGTCTATTAATTGTTACAGAGATCGTCTTCTGTATATACAATCTTACAAAGTACATTACAAAGGAACCAAAGTCACTGCATACCCGCATCACACAATTTCCCTAATAGTAATAAAAAAGAAATGTAGAATATATTATCGCGCCGCTTAAACAGGATGTTCAAGCCGAAGCGCTTTATCAATCACATTAATATTTACTCTATTTCGTCGACATTGAGGACACTTGACAATAACGATATCCAGTATCGGTTATAATTTTGAGAGATTATGTAGGTACCTCTCACATGTATCAAAGTACCCCTTGGTAGATAAACGCGTCGCTTTGCTCTTATTTTTTCTCTAACACGATCGCTCGAAACCTGAGTTATAAAAATTTTATTATACCGAGAGGGAGAGACACAAAGAAAAAAAAAAATCACGTGTCACGCTGAAAAGATCTCACGTTTCCAAAATGCACATCAGATAATACTTTGATAATGTGTACTAGTGATGAATAATCCGTGTGCAACGCTTACGAAGCAATGTCCGCGGGTAGCAAGACCAATCATCGCATTTGTATCCGCCGCGAAGTAATGTCAAAAACATTCGAAAGCGGTTAAATATATTTTAACTCGCTTACAAAGCTGTGTGTGTGTGTATATGTGTGCGACTCATCCTCTCTCTAGCATTAGTTCATCTAAAAAAATTCTAATCGTGCCTCTATCGTGCATCATAAAACTGCGGTCGCAAATTTACTATGCTTTTTATCGAGACAAAATGTTTACGCAAAGTACATGAAATCAATCTTCTTTTTTTTCAATTTTCGCGTGTTAAATTAATCTAGCATTTAAGATTTTATCCCATAGTACTTATATTTTATTTTATTGTTTTTCTTTATTCTTATTCTTTTATTTTTGACATATAATTTTCCTTCACTTTTTTCTGATTAGAACTGAACGAGAAACGTCATATCATGGGATAAAAATATTACCCAAATAAAGCTTCACTTTATAATATGTGATATAACATTTTATGTTATTTCTGTAATTATAAAGTGTTGATCTGATTTTCTCAATTAAGAAACTTAATTAAAAAATAACGTTTTTACGAGTCTCTTAATGTTACGAATTTATACAACACTTCATTTATGAAACCCTTCCTCGCTTATCGAGTCAATGCAGGATGTATTAATATCGCAGTGTACTGCTTCGATACGGTTTTTCTCATCAGATATTGCAAACGTGAGAGCTCAATTTGCGACGCGCGCGACTATCGCCAATCTAGATGAATCGTCGATGAATCAATAATGAATCGTCCGTGTTTAGGATCTCATGTACGGATAGTCATATCCCCGTATGGGCGCAAAGGTCTCCTTAATAGATTGCGGGGACGCCCAGCGAAGAGGATAATGCGGTCCGCCGGCTTTATCGTTTGTACCGGACATTCGACTGCCGCCGAATGGTTGTTGGCCGACCACTGATCCGGTCGATTTATCGTTGACGTAAAAATTACCGGCAGTATATTTTAAATCCTCAAGCGCCTTTTTTGCCCATTTTCTACAATAATAAATAAGAATATTATTTACTTTATCGTAATACACACACACAATATATATACAATATACATATATGTTTAAGTTTAGAGAAATCAGCATGCAATTTAAAATACAACGTGTCACACATGTGGAACGTCAAGAATAACAATTACAACTCTTACTTACTCGTCTTCCGCGAATATTGCGCCTGTTAAGGCGTATGGCGTTGATGTCTCTACCAATTTTACCGTTTCGTCCAGATCGGAGTTTTTGTAAACATAGATCGTAAGTACCGGTCCAAATATCTCTTCTGTCATGAGTTTTTCTTTTGGATCTTTGCTTTGTACTATTGTCGGTTCGATGAAGTATCCGCACCTAGAAAGGAGATTCGCATCTTAAGATAACAGTTACAACATTAAAGTTGCGCTAATAATAATCGCGACACAAAACGTACGAATTGTCGGAGCCTCCACCGCCGAGAATTTCCATCTTGGATGATTTCCTTGCATAATCGATATAACTAGAAATACGTTTAAACGCAGTGGCGTCTATAACGGCGCCGGTGAACACAGTAAAATCTTGAACATCGCCGATCTTGAGTTTCTGGCGAAGATCTAAGAGACCGTCCTTTATCTGGAACAAGAGAGAGTTAGTTTAAAAAATCAATCACTCGGAAAAAATAATACGCTCGAAGAATTTAACAAAGCGGCATTTTCACTCACCTTACCCCACAAAGACTCCGGCACGTACATTCTACTGCAAGCGGAGCACTTTTGTCCGTTATACTCGAACGCGCTCTTTATCGACGCGTTGATGACCGATTCCACATCCGCGCTCGGGTGAACGAAATGATAATTCTTACCGCCGCACTCGCCAATCAATTTCGGATAGTTCCTGTATTTGGCGAGATTCTGGCCGACCTGTGCCCACAGACGATTGAATGTCGGTACTGAGCCGGTAAAGTTGAGTCCGGCGAGATAAGGCGAGGACGTGATGGTGTCGCCGAACACGGGTCCCTCGCACGGAACGAAATTCACCACGCCAGGCGGCACTCCGGCCTCCCTGCATATCTTAAAGATCCACCAGTTGGACAATAACGCGGTGTCGGATGGCTTCCATAGCACAGCATTGCCCTGCAATCGCGGTACATGTTGTCACGCGCTTATGACATTTTTATTATGACGCGAGAGCCTCGATTAAAGCGCTGTCACAGTGTGGTTTGCGTTACAAACCATCAGAGCCGGCGTGTAGCTGAGGTTGCCGCCGATCGCGGTAAAGTTGAAAGGCGACACCGCCGCGACGAAACCGTCCATACCGCGATACCTCATCGAGTTGAGGGTCTGCCGATCCGGTGAGATCGGCTGATACTTGATGCTCTCCTTCGCGAAGTACGCGTGCATCCTGAAGAAGTCGATCAATTCCGCTGCGCTGTCGATCTCCGCCTGTATCACGGTCTTGCTCTGGCCGAGCATCGTCGCGGCGTTTAAGTGCTGCCTGTATTTGGTCGCCATGAGATCCGCTATCCTTAGCCACATCTCCAACCGTTTCTCGATCGGCCACCTCTCCCATTCCCGTTGCGCCTTCACCGCGACGTCGATCGCCTTCTTCACGAGCTCTGGCGTCGCCCAATAATACATGGCGATCTTCTCCTTGTGATTATGTGGCTAAAAAAAAATTGCATTGATTAGAGAAAAATTCAAATTCGTGCCACGCGATTATGATACACGTACCATGACCTGATATTTGCATAAGTTGGTCTTGATCTCCTCGTTTCCTATAATTAACGGCACCTCCTCGCATTCATTGGCCATGTTGCCCAAGACCTTCTCCAGTTCCGCTCTCTCCGGGCTGCCCTTCTTGTAGCTGAGAATGGGCTCATTCTCCAGCGGAAATTCCGGCGGACTTGGCACCGGCACTATTGACCCTACTAAGCATCTAACGCCGACTCTGTCAAACAGATAATAATAATAACATTAATAAAGGAAGAGAAGTTCTTTTTAATTCCTCCCGGAACAAAGATACATCAGCAGATAAACGGAGATTTATCTAAGTCCTCTTAAGAGCTCCCCGATAAGATTTTCAAATATTTATCCAGCCACTTTTGTGGTAAAATCTTGAGCTAATAATCTTATCGCAGTTGTCAAATATGTATTTGAGTTTAAAGATGAGTCTCTAGTTTACTTATGCTGTCACATTTGAGCAAAATATTTTATCTAATATTCCCGTTCATAAATATTACAACCGCATTTATTATCAATAAGTCTAAAAGAGACGAGAGAAAACATTGAAATATTCGCGTAGACACGCGAGAAAAAAACAACTAACAACAATATAATCTCTTCTTCGCTTGACCCTAATTAGCGTGGTTATCGATAATTAATGTAGATAATTATTACAAAAAAGTATAGTAAACGTAAATTTCATCTCCAGGAAGAGGATATATCGCTATAATAATATTAAGATTACATAATAATAATCGAAATATTTTTTACAATTTTACATTTTCAATTTCAATTACTTTTACACACAGGCATGATTGTATTATCAACATTATAATTATACAGGGTGTCCCATTTTAAATGACGATCTCAAATATCTCTTGAACAATGCATTTTAGAGAAAAATGTTTCAGACAAAAGTTGTAGGGTTCAAAGGGGGCCAATAGACGATCTTATTAGATTTTGGATTGGGGGTCCGTGTTGGGCCCAGTAGGGTCAAGTCAATTTTTTTAGATAAAACCCCCTATTTTTCATTGCATATTCTTGTAGCTTATCTCGAGAGCTTTTCAAAACACTATAATAAAGTATCTTTTTATTAAGTTTTTTTCGAGTTATTTTATATCTTGATCTGACATATTTTGATATAAAAAATAAAATATCTCGTAAAATATTTAGTTTTCAATAATCTTAACGTAATACTTTTATGTACAGAATAATAAGACAAATTAATTGCTATAAAAAAGACAAATAATTGTTTTAAAAAAATACATTGTAAATAAGTACATATTTTTTCTTAAAAACAATTATTTTCTTTATGTCAACACGGATCCCCGATCCAAAATCTAATAAGGTCTATTGGCTCCCTTTGAACCCTACAACTTTTGTCTGAAACATTTTTCTCTAAAATTGTTCAAGAGATATTTGAGGTCGTCATTTAAAATGGGACACCCTATATATGTGTTAGCATGTAAGTGACAAAAATTGATTAATATTTGACAAAAGAATTTCTCGCGATTAAACATATTTTCGCCGAAATAAGAACATTCGCGAACGTCTAATTTTGTCTTTTTCGACGCAAGGTCGCAAAAGACGTTATTTGGCTTTAAAAAGATATTTGTAAAAGAAGATTCAACCACTAAATTTTCAATAAGTATTCGATCGCAAAAATTATAAATTAATAATGTAAGGATAAACGTTGTTTATAATCCATTAAGTTTCTATAATCAAACGTTAATTACAATTATTTCGCAATTTCTTATAGAAGTAAATTACATGAAGTATTACTCAAATTACTTCGTTCGGCGATACTTCTATTTCTTAAAAAAGATCTGACATAATAGAATAGATAAAGCGGTAAAATATAGCCGACTGTG